AAGGGAATATAGTTAGAAAGAAATAGTAACCAAAATGAACAGTTATTTTATTTATTTATTTATTTTTTTACCCTCTGTAAAATGGAGAAATTGGCCACGATGTGGATTTAGCAACAGCCCTCAGATAATATCGTGGAAACATGTTGCTTTCAAGCTGAGATGCAGGAACCCTAAAATGTTGCTCTGCAAACAGTCACTGGCCTTGCAAAGAGTCTCTTACCTTTGCAGGACTTGATGCAAACAGGTGGGGTTAGGCTTCTCTGTCCCTCTCCTTTTCTCTCTACACATTCTTCCAAGTGACCCCAAACTCTCACATGTGAGCTAATGATTCCAAACTTCCATCTCCAAGTCACTCTCCAGAACTTGAGGCCTACGAGTCTAAGAGCTTCCTGGCCATCTTCCTCCAAATGTCCCTTAGGCCTTGAAAGTCACCACATCCTACACAGAGCTCCTCATCTGCCCCTGCACCCCTATTCCTTCAGGGTTCCCATCTTGCAAATCACTACCCCCCGCAACTGCGCGGACCAGAGTAACCCTGGTTTTGCTGGTCCCGTACAACCAACAATTACCATGTTCTGGAGATTCAACCCCCAACTGCTCTCAAGGCATCCACTTTACCCTTATCCGCTGCACACCCTTGTCCAGCCCTATCACGTCTCAGGTCACTGGCCCAGCCTTCTCTTTGGGCCCCTGCTCCAGTGCAGCCTCCACAGAGCTCTCTGAACCGGCTCCCCAGGATTCTCTAATAGTCTTTTCAGGAGCTGTAGGTTGTCCTCCAGATCATATTCCAGTCTCCTGGCTCCCCAGGATCAGAACACCATCGTGTCCCTACTGGCACCTCGTTAACCCCTCCCTTTTATACCTCCTGCAGCCATTCGAACAAGTTAGCACCCCATGCCATCCCATACCCTTGCACTTTTGCAAAAGTGGTTCCTCTGCTTTTTCTGGTCCTTGTTGTCTTTCTCTGCTGCTATTGACTCACCCTCACTCATCTGTCATACAATCTAGGATCCACCTCTTCCTGCAGGAAGCCTTCTAGACTTTTCAGAGCCCTTCTATCTTGACAATTCCCACCATGCAAGGTCATTTTCTTATGTTTGAGAGTGTCTCCCATTGCATTATGAGCTCCCATTGGCTCCCTTGTTGCCAACAAACACTAGAGTAACTGCTACAGATAAGGGCTCAGTGGTTGAGTGAATGGGAGCAATTAACCAACCATGCGAATCAGTGCAAAGACAAAGAGGAGATGGGCCTCCTGTGTCTGGAGGAATTTTAGAGCAATGGGGATTTGCAGCCCATTGAGAGAAAGAAAGGAGATACAATGATGCTCAGAGTTCTTCTCCAGGTCAAGGATCTGGGCCTGTTTTTCACCAAAAACAAAAAGTGAATCTGTGTTTCCCAAGTACAGCAGAGAAGGGTGGCTGAAAGTTCTTCAAATGCTTGATAGGGAAGCAAGAACACAGTCTTTAAAGCTGAATAAACTGTGTTCAAATCCTACCACTATTTTCAGTTTCCCCGCTCTGAGCCTCACTCAAAAGATAAATATTTTGACCACTCACTTGCTGGGTGATTGTGAAGACCAGACATAAGCACTAAAATTAAACTTAAAGCATTAAATTCAGCACAGGACCAGTATGTGCTGTCAGTAAGAGCTTACTCAGCACTGTGTTTCTCAGGATGAAAATGCATGTGATTGCCTTGAGTCAAAGTACCACAAGGTACATACACACGGGAACCTACAATCCCCTTGGTAGCCTTAGCTCCATTTTACAGATGAGGAAACTGAGGCCCAGAGAAGTGAAGAGAATGGTTCAAGTATACAGCTAGAAAATGTCTGAGCTGGGACTCAAATCCAGATCTATCTGGCCCAAGTGGAACTGAGAGCCCATTAACCACCCCCAAGAAGCAGGGGGGCTCTCCTTTGTGAGTTGCCTGGAGAGGAGGGTCTAGGCAAGAGGCAGCCATATTTAATCATCAGGAAACCTGTGCTCTGTGAGGAGCGAGTGGGCAGGTTTTTCAGGGACAGCTGAGCTACCTGCTGGCCAAGTCCGTCCCTCTCTTGCTCTTGCCCTTCCGCTGCCCCTCCTGCTCATCTGTTCTCCACCATCCTGCAGTATTACTCGTGTCCGTAGACGGGGGTATCTCAGCAGGCTTCTCACAGCTTTAGGGTTCCCTAGGGGGCCCAGGTGTTCATAGGGAGCCTGGGTGAGGCTGAGTGGCAGGGATTCCCTCCCCATCCCCATTCCAAATGGAGCTGTTCCTTTGCGACCTTTTTACACATTTCTTATACTTCCTAAAATTAAAGCATTCCACTCCTTCAAAATAACTTTCCAAATAGTAAGTGCTTTAACCACAATACTCCTGTATCACTTTCATATTACACGGGGAAACTGAGGCCCAGAGAGCAGTACCTGGCCCCAAGTCCTGCGGCCTGTTGAAATGGAGTTCGGCTCTGTCCCAGATGGTCCCCCATTTGGCTCTACCCAGAACAGTCTTGCCCCTCACCCCCTGCCCTCAGCTGTCCAACATGAAGCAGATTTAATAACCACAAACAGGAGGCATTTATCTCCGAAATAACTGTTGTGGCCCAGAATAGGAAAATTGATGTGTTCATCAGCACAGTGCTGGGGGCAGGAGGCAGGATTGGGACGGGAGATGGTTTCAGGCATTTGCAGCACAGGGAACCCAGCCTGGGGCAGTGGTGGGTCATGCGGCCTCCTCGGACACTCACCGGGGTCCCCCTCAGCTGACATGTGGGGTGGGGGGAGCCTCCTGCCCGCTTCCCGCCAGGGTTTGATCCAAATGTATTGACTGTGATAATGCTGAAGTTATAGCTGGAAAAAACAGTAGCTTTAATTTCGGTCTCCAGAGAAAATGAAAGGAGGTGACGATGAGAGAAATATTGATGGCCATGAAAATCAGACAATCTGTCAGAAAGGAAGGCTCGGTCCTTGAGACAGGGAGTGGGCTGAGAGTGTGAGCTGCCTCCTGCCCTCACAAAAGGGGGCAGGAGGCTGTATCTGAGCTCATGAAGCCAATTTCAGGACAAACCCGAGATGAAAATCCACAGTCTAGAAGCTTCTTAGAGGCAGAGGCCACCTTTCAGGCATCTGTCCCCAGGACCTGGCACAGACTGAGCTCTCAGGAAACCATAAAGAAATAAACAAGCCATTTTCTTCCCGGAGACCAGAATTCTTTCCAAATTAACTTGACACTCAGAGTCATCCCCCAGCAATGGTCAATACTAAAGAGTCATCTCCTTAGTTCTCAAGATCTTTTGGCTTTTCCTTTCATGTTTCTAGCAACAAAAATTCCAAAGAAAAATCTTAACAATGCTCATCCTAAATTATTAGATTTCTTTCACAGTTGAGACTTAGAAGACCCAGTTTCTGGATTCTTCTACCCCGACCACCTTGGGAACATCCCCAGCCCCCACCAGAAGGGCCATTCGTCCAGCTGGTAGGGTCACCCTTGGCTCCAGGATGCACAGAGCCCTACAGGCTGGGTCCCGGGGACAGAGCAGTAGACACAGCTGACAAGGACCCACTCCTAGGATCCTGCACTACAAGGGAGAGAGAGACAATCGCAGATGAATACAACACCTAATGTCTGCAGAATAGGCATCAGGAAGCCAAAATGAGGCAGAGCGAGAGCTCAAGAGTAACAGCAGGTGTGAATTCCCATTAGAGCTGGTCTTAGCTTCATTCCCTTGGGTCACTGGGTAAACCAGGACGGGAGGGAAACAAAGTAGGCAGGCCCAAGATCTGAGCAGGAATCAAGCGTGTGGATTCAGCTACAGTCCAGTTTTGACCTAATGGGATTCCGCTTGGGTGGTTGGGGGTGGGGGGGTGTTGGGGACATAATCTTCTGGCCTAGGTGTCTTCCATCAACCAAGGGCAGCTCTCTGGAGGAAGGATGCAGCCATTGGGCAAGGACCACAGCATCTTCTACAGCCCATCAGGAAGGGCCTCTTGCAAGATGTGACATTGGAGGAGGGACAGGAAAGAAGAAGAGCAGGATCAGGCCATACCTGGAGGAGGGGTGTTCCAGGTGGGGAGGAGGGCGGCCTGCAGCGTGCAGCCCCTGAGGAGGGAATGCAGCTGTCACATTTGGGGACCAGCAAACCCAGCTGGGCTTCTTCCCCATTTTGGGAAATTTGCTTGGGTTCACTGCAAACATGAAACCACAGCCATGAGACTACGAGCCACCATCACCATGCTTACTGGCTCGCTCAGTGACACCCTTCCTGTGCAGGCATTAGTGCATTGCGATGCTCAGAGGACGTGTTCCCACCCCCACTTATCCAGAAGAGAGATCTATGGGTGGGGGCTCAAAACACTTCCCAGCACCCACCACAAGCATCACCATCTCTCCCCTCCCCCTCCTCTAAGAATTAGAAGGCAGTGTCCAGTGCCTGCTTATGGACCAGGAGGACCACGTGTATTTCAATACACATGTGGACCTGGCACTTCCTTCTGCTGATAATCTGACCCAGGGTCTTTTGCTTGCACAGGAGGAAGCCCAAAAATTTTGTTCTTTCTGGTCCCCTCCTCTCCTTTTATTGATGCTACAGAACTTTCGAATGGATTCAAAACTTGCTCCAGGATAAACAACTTACTGGTACTCACACATATCTATTCCCATTCATTCTCTCTCTCTCTTTCTTTTTTTCTCTCTCTCTCTCCTTTCAGGCACATACTAGCTCTTCAAATGGGTGTATACGTCAGATTAGTTGACATTTCATTGTCTTTCTTACTGAATGAGAGAAAAGGATTTCCAGGCTCAAAATGGGAGGAGGTTGAAGGAGTTACCCTTTAAGACCACACCCAGCAGCCCGTCCAAGGTCACACAGTAGGTGGCAGCACTGAAACCAGAACCTGGTACCCTCATCCCTGGCTCTTCATGTAGGTGACGACTCAGGGAAGCTCATACCTGCGGGAGACTGGACCGATGGCTCTAATAGCCTTAGCGAATGCGCTTCTGTTCTGTGTAATCCCTAAATGCCCATTCCACCTTTCCCTCATTTTTTTCTTTACTAAAATTACCATTTCACTCTCTGAACCCATGGACAGTTTAAGGTACGCTGAGAAATTTTTAACATTGTGTGTTTGGATATCTTCCATCAAATCTTCCTTGCCTCTCATCAGATCTGAGTACCTTCCTTTCTTCTACCGTAGTCTGGATCTTTTCTTATCAGTGATCGCTTTGAAGCCTCAGAAATATGTGATTGTTTAATTAATCAACCAGTACAAACAGCATTAGCAGTTACTATGACTAAAAAAAAACAAAACCCCCTAGATTTTAGATTAGACTTAAACTTGTTTAATCAGTCTGTTCCCCAGACTCTCCCACTTTTAAGAAAAAGATGCACAGATAAAGAAATAAGGAGAAAATAATCTCCTAATCTACCTTTCTAAACCCCATAGCACAAAAGAAAACCTTACCTTCACCATCTCTACCTCCAGGCAATCAACATTCTACTGACTGGTGAAACTAGAGACTCTGGAAGGTCAAAGGGCAACTGTGACAAGTCTACTGGATCCAAAATCTCTGGAAAGCTGGAGAGAAGGGAAGCGTGAATGAGGACCCAGGGGGAGGACCTCATAGGTTAATGCTGTGCAGAACCAGGCAAATTAAATGTGAGGTGGGGTGAGGAGTGTGGATCGTTGCACCATCACTCACTGGCGACGAGCTTGGCAAAAATCATCTTACTCTGTGAACCTAAGTCTCCATGTCCTCAAGGTGATGCTGGTGACAGGAACAACCCCAAAGTGTCACTGTGGGCAAAGGGAACTCAACAGGTATCATAGACTTGGAAACTCTCAGAGCTGGGAGACTCCCAGGAATGAAGACTCATCCCTTCCCCTGTTTTCCAGAAGTGAACCCTAAAGTCCAAGGAACACAGGGGGTGCAGAGTTCTACCCATGCCACCCTTCAGACCTCTCTAGACCCTTTCTTAATTATTTTAATTTGGGAGCAGCCACCCATCACTCTGCCTGTCTGCTTTATACCAATACTATAAGAACTTTGTTCAGCAAAATGCAAATTTAACAAGAAGTATGAAACCTAAAGTTTTGAAATAAACTTATCATCTCCCTGAACCCCATTCACACCACCCCAATAATTCATTTCCTTTGCCTGTTTTGAGCATCTCTTCCAGGCTCTGAGGACTTGACATTCTGCATTTGCACTTGCATCCAATCATCAATGTATTCTGTGTTGCTACAGTCTTCATAATTATCATTTTAACAGCACCATAATACCCCTTCATGTTGATGCACTATCATTTACAAAACTGTTCACCAATTGTTGGACATTTAGCTTTTCTACAGTGTTTGTTATTATAGATAACACTATAATGAGCATCATCGCAGCACAGAGCTCAAAAGGTCTGATAAATTATGTCCTTAGAATAACAGAGAAATTCCCAGAATTCTGTTTCTGGAATCAGAGGGCATAAACCCATTGAAACACTTATCTATTTCCCCCAAAAAGAATCATACCAATCTGTACTACACCAGTGGGGTTAACTGGTTCTGTTTTCACCATGAAGCTTCACCAACTTGAATGTTCTAGCTTTGTTTTACTTGATTCTTTTTCTGTCTGTGGCAGAAACCCACAAATTTTCATTGTAGAAAATGTGGACAGAAGAAAAAAAGAAAAATTCATCATAACCCAGTCAACCAAAAATAATCACTACCCACTGTAAGCTTATTTCTTTCCAATCTTTTTTCTATACATACAAAGAATTTTCCCTCAAATTCTATACATTCTATAAAAGATTCTGTTTTATTTTTCTTTGTTTTCATTTATTTTCCTGTCATTGTAAACTTTTTTAAAATAATTAGCTTTAATGGGTATGTAATAGTCTATTATACATAAATTTATTTCTTAAAGATCCTCTGAGGTTGGATATGCAAATTTTGTCTGTCATGAACATACTTCTGGATAAATCTGATTTGTAATCTTTGTTTACTATGACCACAGCACAAACAACTTGAAATAGAAAGTCAGATCAAAGGGTATACAATATCCAATATCCTTGGAGTTTAAGGATTGAAAGTGAGAAACTTCAGGGGATTTCTGTCATATCCATCTGAACCCTGAAGAAGGCAGCCTGGGGCCTGAAGGAGGCATCAGTGTTTGGACAGAGGGCGCTGAGTTCCTTTAGCAGCTTCAGGACCTGGGGCAAGGCAGCTAACATCCATGTCTGTTACATGGCATAATACTCTCTGTCACTTGTCATTAGGGCTGACCCAAATGACATCCACAATATCCATTTGTGGAATATCCAAATGTTTTGGTAGGGGGGATTTTTGAGTGAAGAAAGAGGTGAAGTCCATCTCTTCCATTCTGAAAGCCAAAGGGGACCTGTTTATTCAACCCTAAAAGCTAAGAGCTAAGCGCATGCACAGGACTTGGGCAGGCCAGATGCATTTGCCCAGGACCCTGTGGGGGACAGGGTGGCTCAGACAATATGAGCAATGACTTCAGCAGGGCCGAGTCTGGAAGCAGGGAAGCCACATCCCTCAATTTGGCAACAGAGGCTCCGTGGAGGCCAGGTCTTGCCTGTATTTGCGCCTGTGGCTGTTGCTTTTGGTTTTCCAACCTTCATATCAATGCTGTGCGTTCCCTAAATCCTTCCAAGAAGTTCCTTTTCCTTCTTAAATTAAGCAAAGTGGATTTCTATTGTTGCCAGTGGATTTCTACTGTCGCCATTTCTATCATTGCCATTTCTATTGTTGCCATCTGCCATCAAGATTTCTATTGTTGCCAGGACCTGCAAATCTGTGAGGACCCAATACAACGCAGGTAGATATTCCGGAGCAGCAGCAGACCCAGAGCAGGCCTCCAGAAGCATTGTTTGCTCTTATGATTATTTGGCAGCACAGAACAGTAGCCATCCCTGCTCTACTTCTTACTTCTGGGTCACCCAAGACATATCGCTTAACCTCTCTGTGCCCCAGTTTTCACATATGCAATATGAGAACACCAGTGCCTGCCTCTTGGTGTTGTATAAGGATAAAATGAGTTAAATTCTTACTAAACGCTTTAATGTGCTATTGTCATTATAACCACCAGCCTGAGTGCCACTCTGTCGTTTTTACAGCACCTTCACCGTCTCCATGTCATTTAATTCTACGAGCAGTCATGGGAGAGATGTAATCCTTCTTTTACAAATTTGGAAACTGAGGCTGGGAGCGGTTCCTTCCTGGAGGTCCTACAACCAGTTGCTGGTGAAAAACACAACTCAAGCTGTGGATTCTGAAGGTCAGGTTCGCTTAGGCATATGCATGTATGACTGCAGTGTGCTCTCTATGTTTTTCAGAGACAAAGCAGCGACTGAATGAGTGAAAGAGAAAGAACTGAGCTAGCTAATGTTTGCTCAGCCTCTGCTTGTATACAGTCAGGCCTTGCATGCACAAGGAACACAGGTGCAATTTACTTATAATTCTGTATAACTTACTCCTTGTAACATGGCAACTTAGATAGCCTCCTATCCTATCTACAATGAGGCTCACAAAGGTTTGGTGCCCTGTGCCAGGTGACACAACAGTGGAGCCGCTGGCCCTGCACTTCGCCCCCAATACCACTAACCCCTCCAAAGCCCTGTTTAGACTTGAAAAGGGACACCTCCTGCCTTGCATCTGCCATTCACCTCCCTCCCCCATTATCTCCAGGCTGAAGTGTGCACAAGGGTTATTTTCGCTACCAAATTGGCGCTTAGAAGCTGGAGATTAAATAAACAAACGTGTGAGCGGTTTCCTGCACCAGCTCGCACGCAGCCAGCCAGGGCGTTAGAGGGCCTCGCGATCGCCGCCGTTTGACTGCGGGGCTGCCTGACAATGGCTGTGCGCTGTATCCTGTTTATACAATGAATCTATAATGTAATTTCACCAGGTTCTGAAATGCACCGAGAAACATGCGAGGGCTCGGTGCCTTGCCTAATCCATATGAAACAGGCTGGAAACGCGCCTAGTAAACACGTGGGAGACAAGAGGGGCTGCAGTCAGTCCATCCTCATCTAAAAGGGATTATGGCCCAAGGAGCAGGTGAGACAGCACCCCTCAGCACCCTCCCCACAGTATCCCCGCCTCCCCCCGCCACCCTCGCAGACCCCAGCAGCTCCGTGGTGGAAGCAGATCTCTCTAAACTGTACTTACAGGATTTGCAGACAATTCCCAGGGTCTCCAAGTCTAGGGTCCTGGGCCACATCCTTACCACTTGGGACCAATTGCTGCAGAGGGTGTGAGTTAGAGGATTGTCATCAAGTATGGCCTTGTCCACTTGTCTATTCAGTCTCTCAAGATAAAGAGAGAGAAGAGGCAGATGCATGGGAGAAAGAGAACTCAGGATTTGCCTTCTAGCTTTGTGACAATCACCACCCCCCACCCCCAATCCCTGGCTCTCAAGTGCTTCATGACGGATACTAAGTGTGTAGGGGGCCTTGTCTTTGTGATCTTAGATTAATTGGGTCTCTGAGTTAAACTTTTGCTAACTAAGGGCCTTGTTTAGCCTCCTGGAGAAGGTATGCAAGCAATGTCACCTGGAAGATAATAACAGAGTCCTGAGAACCCCAGGCTCCAAAGGAGCAGAAAGCAAGGCATTTAGTTCATATCCCCTCCTGTATGAGTCCAGCAACCTTATAATTTATTGACCGCCTCCCTATTTGTAATGAAAATAAAAGTTAGCAATGATGGGGCCTTCTCTCTCATCATGCTCATTCTAAGAATTATGCTACTGTCCCCAGTTTTATATTTAAGACACACTCTGTGCCTAAGGTCACAGAGCACTTCAGGGCAGAGCACAGAGGCCAGTCCTGGCAGCCGGCCCCAGCTGTATGACAGCACTGAACTTGCACAAGCCACTGGGCTGTGTGAAGCTGGGGAATTCTGCCACTTGGAGACTGGATGTGGGGATTTAAAAGGCCTGTTTGTGCGTCTGTGGCACAGGCCCTGGCCTCAGGCAGGACTTCCAGCTCGGGGACTGATAACCCACAAGCCTGGAGCAGACCGGTTCCCTCTCGGGGCCTCAGCTCCTCATGGCTGCTCTGTATAGAGGCCCCTCTCTCCCCAAAGCCTCCTGCCCTCGGCTGTGGTTGTCTTCTCCACAACCACAAGGTCATGGGGGCCGTGTACTCAGGGCGAGTGGGGATGTGCCTAGATTTGGAAGCCGGGTGAACATGAATTCCACTGCTGCCTTTTTTTGCCAAATCTTTCTCAGTTTTCTCACCTCTTCCTTGTGCAGTTTTCTCACCTCTTCTCACCCCAACGATTAACTGGGGACAAAAGGACCCACTCAGGGATCTGGTGTGAAGGCTGGAAGAGCTCTGGCCTGCAAGCTCTGGGAGAAATAACTTTGTCATTGTTGTTATGATGTTCTCCTGGTGATCACAGCGATGATTCCTGAATGTTCCATGAAAGTTCTACAAACCCAAATTAGCTTGCTACTTCAGCAAAACCTTTTCTGTCCCCCCAGCTGCCCCACATGGGATTAGTCCCCCTCCCCAGTCCCCAGGATCTCAGCCATGCCCCTGCCTTGACACCAAGTACTTCTT